GGGGGCTGCACATCCGGCTGCCCGCAGCCCGTGCTCTGCACTAGAAAGTGCCTGGGCTGCTGCAGGTGGCCCTCGGCCCTGCTCTGCGTGATCCCAGTTGCCACAGGTGACCTAGCGCAGTCCATGGCTTCCTGGACCTTGGCGAGCTCATGCAGCAGAGGGAACGTCAGGCCAGCCAGACAGACCAGGGTTCAAGGCCTGCACGTATGCTTTGGGACCTTGCACAAGTGACCTGACCCCTCTGGGCCTCCGTTTTCTTTTCTGGAAACAGTGAAGTCAGCTCCAAGCCTGGGTACAAGGTGCCTGGCCTGGGTGCCGGCTGTACTCTGCACTGTGCATAGGTTCTCAAAAGTGGGACGTTTGCTTCTCTCTCACCTCCCTGCTAACTAGAGGAGGAGATCGAGGCCCACAGAGGAGGTGATTTATGTCGGGCCTGCAGCCTCTGCCAGGCAGCTGCAGGAGCCCCAGCCCCAGGCTCCTGCCGGAGCGGCCCAAACTGCTGACTTGAGCGTTTCGCCGGCCAGGGCGGACCAGACCTCTGCTCTGGCACTTGGCCGCCCCTCACACCCTTCCCCCATTGCTATTTTGAGCCGAGCTCCCCATCTGTCCCCTCCTCCCTCAGCCCTGGCCCTCACACCCAAAGCCTCGCTGTAGGCCGAGGCCTTTCCACCTCTGATCCCACTGCTTTCCCTGCGCGGACCTGCATGAGACCTCCGAGGGCCGGGCAGCGCTGGGACCCATCCAACCCGCCTCGCTGGGGGTGCTGGGGCTATAAAGAAGGTGCTGCCGGCCAGAGTGGTCAGTGTTGCCCAGGAGGGGCATCCTGCGGACAGAGAGACTCCTACCCCGGCCCCAGCACTGTCACCTCCCTCCTGTCCTCCTCTCTCAGCCTCATATCTCGCCTGTCCTGGCTTCTGACCCCCAGCCTGGGCTCTGGGCCCTGAAAGAAGCTGAACAAATCAAGGGTCCCACGTGTCCACCCACGCAGAGGTTGATGGGAAACAACATGGCAGTTTGTGCAGCTTCTTTAAATTCCAGCTGAATCACTGAGTTTGGCTGCTGGTGGCTAGATTGGGGCAGGACCCAGAGCCCAGTGAGCAGTGTGGACCACGCTGTCCCCCGGGAGTGTAGGGGCTCAGTTTTCTTCAGAGAGGCGGTAGGAAGTTCTCAGCTAGTGGGCCAGCCTGGGACTCAGAGGGCAGAGTGAGGACCCTGGGAGGGTCCCTTCCGGCTTGTCCTTGAAGGACACAAGGATGTTCACTGATGGAAAATAGAGGTGTAGGGAACTACAAAAGCCAAGGCGTAGGGGTGGCGTGTCACTTGCAGGAAGTGACTTTGGTTTTGACTGTAAGCTTTGTAGAAGAGTTGAACAGCTAAGGGTAGAGGGTCAGCTGGGGCCACAGGAGAAGGGATCCCATGACTTGTGCTTTATCCTCAGTTCTGCGGGGATGGGACCCCAAGCCGGAAGCAGCCTTTTGAGTGCTTATGGCGGAGGGGAGCTCTACCTGGCTGAACTGGGGTGGCTGTAGCCTGAGAGAGGGTACAGTCAGGAGAAAGGGCTTGCAGGGTACACGGGCACACAGCAGGGAGGCCGGGGACCCCCGCTTGCTCAGGAGAACTGCGAGCCCCAGGGGTGGCTGCGTGTACATGTGACATCCACCTCTGGTCAGTCACCAGCTGTCCCGGGCACTGCAGTCACGTGAGGGGAGGAAAGCTCTTGCCTTTTGCAATGCCTGCGGTTCGGATGTTTTCCGCCCCTTTGGACTGTCCTCAGCCCTCAGCCCTGATCGTGTGGTTGGCTGGTGGAGAAAAGCCAGAAGCAGGAAACAGATAACCCGGGAGGGGCCGCACATGTGATTAAGTCTTCCCTTTCCAAAAATCTCTGCCTGAGATGGCTTCAGATGGCGGCGGCAGGCGGCTGGGGTCTGGAGAGAGGGGTTTGGTGGCGTGATGGGCACGGTGCCTGGCGACAAGCGGGAGCAGGTCCTGGAGGGGCTCGTGGTCCCCGTAGGGCTCCGTTCCTTCCCATGTCGGCTTCCTCTTCCCCTGGGGGGCGGCTTGCAGCCATCTCTTTCCTTGTCACTTGCTGTCACTTCTGCTCTCTTACTCCCGCTTGGCGCTGTGGACCCCGCCCCGCCTCTTCCAGGCCTCCCCTCTCCTCTGTCTGTCTCAGCCCCTTCCCTCCTCTCCCCTCCCCAGCCGTGCCCCCTCCCCAGGGTTTTCCTGCGGTCTTTTCCTGTCACTGTGAAAGCATCCATTGTTCCCTGCACTTTGACAAACCCTAGTGTTGTGGAATCAGGATGGCATTTTTGCGGTGGCTTCGCTGGGAACAGGGTGGGAGGGTGCCCGGGAGGCCAGGCTGCGGCAGGAACCCCGACCGAGGAGGGGCCCAGAAGGAGGCCTCGAGGCCGGGAGGAAGCCCAGGGTGACCTTTCGTGGCGGCTTCTCCCTCCCTCCCTCCCTCCCGGCATCCTGTAGGCCGTGCAGCACGGCCCACCTGTCCCCCTGCTCTGCTGCTTCCTCCGCCTCCACAAGCCCAGGCTGTGCATGTGCTATGTGGACTCATGAGCGTCGGGTCTTTGGAGGGTCCCGAGGCGACAGCACGGAGCACGGACAAGAAAGAAAGCCTTGGGTCCTGGCCTTCGACAGGCTTGGCTTTGGATCTGGCCCACTGCTAACTAATCCTGTGGTGTTGGGCATCCCACTGCCCCAGTTCCGAGCCTCAGTTGCCTCATCCTTTATGGGGTGAAGAGCTGATTTTGAGGGCCCGTTGCATGGAGTAGAGTCACACGTCATGACTGGCTGGTGCCGTCACCTAGGAGGCCCCGCAGGCTCTGCCTGAGCGTGTGGGTTGTCAGAGCTTGAGGCTGGGCTTTGGGACAGTAAGGGCCATGGCTAGGGAAAGGGTCCCAGGGCAGACTCCTTTAGGAGTCCCCAGACTGTGAGACGCATGAAGGCAGGGCTTTCCTTATGTGCCTTACATATTTCCACATTCCTAGAATTTTCTACAAGGCTCAGTTCAGAGTGGGTACACAGTAAACATCAGTGAGTGTCGGTCGGGGTCAGGGGTCAGAGGTCAGAGGTGGGGTCATGTCCCTGGGCACAGGCCTGCTTCCTCATGTTTTCGTGCCCATCTTCGCACCGAGCGGAGTGCCTCCCTTGGAGTCGGTGATGGGGTACAGGCCTGGTCCCACAGTGAGGGGCCCTGCACCACTGCTTGGCCTCCCATACCTCCCCTCCCAGGGTGACCCGGGAGTGTGAGTGGCAGGTTAGGAAGGTGCCCCTCTGTTCTTTGTCCTGGCTATAGCCAGCACCTTGCAGGGGGAGGTGGGGGGCCACTAGCACTCAGTGGGGAAGGACGCATAAGTGAGGCTCCCAGAAACACACCCCAGGTCAGTCCCACGGGCATTCTGGGAGAGGAGAAGCTGGGGCCCAGAGAGGGGAAGACAGTCCTAGCAGGCCAGGACCCATGACAGTAGCAGCCCCTCCCTCTCTTGCCATCCTGATTCGGCAGGCCCAATTCTCTGTGGGGTTCTGGTACATCTTTTGGAATTCACAGAGGGGTACAAGTCAGACTGGTTCAGGTCTTACTCCCCTGCCTGGCACTGTGGACTCCAGCTGGCCGTGGGAGTACATCAGGCCTCAGCGCTCTTGTCTGGAGCTGGGAGGGACTGATCACTCTTTGCTCAGGAGGTGGCTGGAAGGGCACAGAGAGGCCCTGGCTAGACCCTGACGATCGAGGGATGCTGTTCCTCCACCCCAGCACCCAACGGGGTGCGGACCATCGTCCAGGGCAAGCTGAAGTGGCAAGGCCCGGTCTCATGGGAGGCCACAGCTAAGGCCAGGTGCTGGAGCCATCCAGGGAGCACACCTAGCAGAAGCCAGCATGGCAGCGTGACACACAGAGAGAGCACAGCCACAAGGCCACCGTGACACCCTGGGCCCAAGCCACCGAGGGCCGCAGTTGTCTTCTCTGAGTAAAAGGGACCAGGTGAGGGTCAAGCTTCCCCCTAAGGGTGACTCAGTCTGGAAGGACTTCACGCAGCAGGGGCCGGGGGAGACAGACGACGGGGTGACCAGTCAGGCTGGGTCATCAGGCCGGGTGATTCCCTTGGCCGCCCTTAACATAGAGGGAGCATCTGGGGCAGCAGATGAGGGGTAGGTTGCCCTCTCGGAGCCTGGAAGCAGGGTGGCTCTACGGACATAAACGTGGTCCAAAAAAACAGCAGCCAGAAGCCAGCCTGTGCCCCGTGCCCAGCCAGTGTCCACAGCTGCAAGCCAGTGTAGACACTGCCTTTGTGGGACTCTCACCTTGGGAAAGCACCGGGCTCCCCCTGGTGGGCAGGAGGAGGGCTGCAGGCCAGGAACCTCGCAACTTCTGGCTGTTTTCCTTGCGCATTTTTCCTTTTCATGGTGGGGAACGGGCAGCCGTCCAGCGCTTCCCTGCTTTCCCTCCAAGCGTTTTCCCAAACTCCTAACAAAACAGTCATCACAACTGCTTTAATGGCGTTCTTGTCACCCATCCAACGGGTGTAACGCGATTTAGGGAGGCTTTGTGCGCGATGGAATGTGGAGCCCGTGCCAGGTCTTCATTCATTGTCTTGGGCGGCGCGCTCTGGTCCCCTCCCTGACAGTCGCCTAGGAATGGATGTGCGTGGGGAAAAGAGTAGACATTTTGTAACGTGTGAAGGCTTGTGGCCGCGCCTCCCTGCAGAAACAATCAAGTGTATCTATCCGGCCCCCAGCCCTGCGGTGCCTGCCGTGCCATCCACACACCTGCCTTCAGCAGCTCAGTGGTCAAGAGCACTGTGGAGCAGCAGTGCCTGCAGAGGCACCAGGCCCAACTGCCTGACCCAGGCAAAAGTCCCCCAGCATACTCGCAGGTTGTTGGTGCTGGTTTTGTTGTTGTTGTTGCTTGGTACCGGGATCGAACTTGGGATCTTTCACTTTCAAAACAGGCAGTGGAAACACTGAGCTAAATCCCCGGCATCAGTGATTGTTGTTTACCCAGACTCTGCTTGCATCCCTCCGGTGATGGGGTGCTCACCCCCTCGGCCACCCTGGAGAGATCTCATGAACTGATGCGAAGAAAACACATGAATATCTAGACAGCATCAGCATCTTCTGCCTCCTCCCAAGCTGCCTGGTGGCTCCTCCCTGTCCCTACGCAGCTTTTGGCTTGTCAGCTCCTTGGCTCCTGTCCTCCTTCCCAGCCCCACCAGGCACAGCTCCCACTTCCCAGGCTGACCTCCTGCAGTGACTATAGCCCCGACTGAGAGGTCAGAGGACCCTTGCTTCCCTACCCCGACACCAGCTCGTCGCTAACCTACCGTGCATCCTTGAGTAGGCGCCCTCACCTCCCTGGCCCCCGGAGGACCCGTCTGTGCCACCGAGGGTGGTTTCTGAGCCCCAGTGAACTGCATCCGGCTCTGGCCGATGGGATTCGCCAGGGGCCTATGTGGCAGGAGCCCTGCTCAGCCAGCCTGCTGGGGCCCAGTGTCCCTCGGGCTGGGGGCTGGCCCCACAGAGCTGTCCACAGCGACTGTGCTTTGTGCTGGCACGGATGGAAAGAGGCCTTTGCTTTCTGGGAGGAGGCATGGGGGGCAGGGACACCTTTGTTCTGTGAAAATGTCCTCTGCGGCCGTCCTCATGGATGAGCACAAACCACGCTGGGCCAACAGCAGAGGCTTCCGGGAAGCGGCTTCTCACTTCCGCACACTGTCACTGACCTGCTGTCCCCTCCCTGCCCGGCAGGCCCTGTCCCCTCTGACGCTGGGGTGGACGGGGCAGGAGTCCCTAGGCATTTTCTCCTGGAGTTCCTGCTGCTGGGGGAACTGCCTTCCCTCTCACAGGCCGTGGTGTCATGGAGGGGACACACCTGGCGGTGGCAGACGGAAATGCAGCAAGGGCAGCCTTGGAGAGGAGCCCACTCGGCCGCCCACCCTACACACGTGGATGCTCTTGGACAAGTCCCACCCTCTCCTGGGCCTCAGTTTCACCAGCTGCTGAATGATTTCCCTGCCCTGGAGGGTTCTGGGAAGCACTGGATGCGAACCCGCCAATCAGGGAGCCCTGGGCATAAAGCCCAGCCCATGGGTGGTGCTACACAAATACGCCCTTTCCAGGACCTTCCTCCTCTAGCTGGTGCCCATAGGTCACAGCCCTAGCTTCCTTGTCACCTCCCGGGCCTCCATCCCTCCCCTGTGCGGCGTGGTCTCTGAGCAGAGGCGGGCAGCACCGTTTCCTCCCGACAGCGCGGGAGGCAGCCCCTGGTCATCCTCCAGCCCCTGGACGGAACCGGAAGTGCAGAGACATTGAGCGACTTGCTGAGCCCCCTCACGTGGTCACAGGCAGAGTGGCTTTGTGACTCGGGCACCTGGCCCTGGAGCCCCAGATCTGAGCCTGGTTCCCTGCGACAGGGTGTTGGTGGCCCTGTGACAGGGCCTGGCTGAGCAGCTGTGGGAATGGCCACCCGCCATGTCTCACCCCACAGGAGGGCCCTGTCCCTGGCTCACCCTCTTCCGTCTTCCTGTTTCTCCCTCACTGTAAGCTCTGAGCCCCATTCCCTGGGTGTGTTTCCCGCTCCTTACTGAAGCAGAGGTTCCCTAGACCCTGAGACCTGTGTCTAACTGCCTGGCTCACATTATTTTGCACAGACTACTTGACCCCTCCCTCTGACCCCTGCCCTTTGTCCCAGCTGTGTGAGGTTGGGAGCCAGGTCCTGGAGCAGCCTACCTGGGAACAGACCCCAAATGCCCCCTTGCATAAAGGCATCTCAGACCCCACTGTGGGCATAGCACCTACCTGCTTCCTCATGGCCTTTGACAGGGTAAGTGGAAGCTGGATGCCCTGAGAAGGACCCCTGTGCTACAGGACAGTGACAGGGAGGAAGGCTGCCTGGAGCCCGGTGCCAGGCCCCGGGGAGACGGTGCAGCACAGGGCTCGGGGGCACGCCCGCTAACCAAGGCCCACAGGGACCCAGGCCGACCCTTTACCTCTGACTAGGCGAGGCCCTGACGTGTACTCAGTGTTCCTTGCTGTCACTGTCACGGGCGTTTCAGACCTGCAGGGAGGGGGAAAGAGCCGTCTCCCTGCGCTGCTCTGCCAGGACGTCCAGTGAGGATCCCAAGACGTTAGGTGGCCCTGCTCCCTCTCCAAGTCTGGATCTACAGCCTCGGCACGTTTACCCTTTTTTAGTATTCTTCCAGGAATTCTAGCAAGCTGTCACCGAGAGGTAGAAGAAGGAAAGAGAAAGAAAGATTGAGTACCGGAAGAAGAAATTAGATTTCATATACCACTGTTGTTCTATGTAAGGGAACAGTTATAATGATACAAATACTTCTGTGTCACCTTTTAAAATGTATTTATTTTAAATTTTATTTTTATTTTTTAGGACAGGTATTTTGGCATTTGCTATATAGTCCAGGTTGCCCTTAAACTCGCTATGTAGCCCAGGCTGGTGACCCTCCTACCTCAGCCTCCCAAGCACTGGGATAACAAGCATCTGCCACCATGCCTGGTCTTTGTCCCATTTTGATGCCAGTTATTATTCCATTTCATGGCTACGCCATGTTTGATCTCTCCATCTCTCAGATGCTGGACACTTGGGTTGTTCCTGATTTTTGACTATCGTGAAGGAAGCAGTGTAAGCATTTATATACACACACAGTTTTTGGGGAAAGTTGGGAGCAGCTACTTTAATACTTGAGAATAGGCGACATCACATGGAAGTAAGACTCTGTCCTGTGACAATTTGGTATGGAGCCCAGGCCAGTAGCGACACCTGGCGGCTTCCTGGAAAAGCTCACCTTAAATCCTGGCATCAGAATCTGCATTTGACACAGGCCCAGGGAAGTCTCAGACAGTTAAATCTGAGAAGCCCTGGTCTATGAGATGAACTTTCCATAGCAGCTTCCCTGCATAACTTTCTACTCGCAGAGCAGCACATGGTGGACAAAAGCATGTGTTCTGTGAGGCCAGGGTGTGGCTCCCTGGCAGAGCTCCTGCCTAGCACTTGTGGGGTTCTGGTTTCGATTCACACCCCTGGGGTAAAAAAAGAGCACAGATTTTCAATCCAAATTCCACCTCTGGTATCTTGGGCAACTTACCACGCAAGGATAATGGACATCACCGCCATAGAAGACGAGATGGCACGTGTGAAACACTGAGCACAGTGGTGACCACAGATGGGGACACTGGTGGTGTCACACGTTTGTAATCCCAGCACTCGGAAGATCACTGAGAGTTCAAGGCCAGCCTGGGTTCCATAGTAGGTTCAAAGCCAGCCTGGAACCCTGTTTCCAGTGCCCCTCCCTGCCAAATGAAAGGCAGTCCTGTCACACGCTCCAGCATGAATGAATCTGAAAAGTATTATGTTCGGAAAAAGGAGCCAGACACAAAAGAATGTGTCCTATGTTTCCACTTTTTTGAAGTTTCTAAAATGGGTAAATCTATAGAGCTAGAAAATAGATGAGTGGTTGGCTAGAGCCAGGTGATGGGAGAATAAAACTGTTATTGGGCATAGTTCTACTTTTAGCGGGTAATACAGTGTTCTAAAGTTAGATTGTGAGGGCTGGGGATTTAGCTCAGTAGTTCGGCTGCCTGCCTTGTAAGCACAAGGTCCCGAGTTTAGTCTCTAAAGTTAGATCGCGGTGATACATGTACAACTCGTACATTGCTCACTTTAAATGGGTGAGGTGTAGGATCTGTGAACATAGTAAAGCTGTTTTAAAACACCGCAGGATAGAACGAGCTGCTTTTATATAGAAAGTGTAGTTACAAATCAGTAAGAAAGAATATCAAGCCTCCATAAAACAAAAACAAAAACAAAAAACCCATAGGGAAGATGAAGAAACAGTTCACAAAGGAAACACAAATGGTTCTTTTTTGGTACCACTTACAAGGCAGGCAGTGGAACCACTGAGCTAAAAGCCCCAGCCCAGACTGGGTAATTTTTGCACTCTGAGTTGCAACAGCAAAACTAGCATGCATTGCACCTATTTATTTATGTTTGTTTTTTTGAGACAATCTCACCATGTAGCCCTGGCTAGCCTCAAACTCACAGCGATCCCCCTGCCTCAGCCTCCCAAGTGCTAGGGCTTCTTGAACCCAGCACTGCTGCACTAAGGGGAAGCAGCCTCAACAGCACAGATGCCCTGAGCAAGGGATGACTCCCCTGTCACCCATGGAGACTTCCGTGTGTACTCAGCGCTGCTGTGCAATTCAAAACTGATGCATTATTTGTAGAGTTTTCCATTTGACATTTTCAGACCACAGTTGATGGACGATACCTGAAACAAATGGAGGCCAACGAAATCGTGGAAAGCAAAACTGCAGATAAGGGGGTTACTGTGACTCAGGCTCCGCTAGGGAGGTGATGGGATATGAAGCTGGGGTGCACGCGCGGGATGTAGGCGTGGTCTTTCAAATTTACGTGTGCACGCGCCCATGGATACCGCAGTGCCACCGCTACAAATGTGTCCCGCAGACACACCCGCTCGTGTGCACAGAAGTGGAAGTCAGTCGTGGTAGCCTTGTTGGTAACAACGGAAGAAAGGAAAGCAACCTACACTATCTGAAATGCTGCCTGTAAACGCGCCTCCCGCACTTGCTTGAACTCCAGTACTGTGCGCAGCCGCCCGCCCTGTGTGTGCTGCTGAGGGAAACCCCAAGGTACATCATGAAGTAAAAGACCTGAAGCCGGGAGCCAGATGAGGGATCCGTTTTCTCCCACATGAGGGGAAAGAGTGCGGCCGCACTGCACTGTCCAGTGTGAATGCGGAGCCCACCTGGCCTTTGGGGTGCAAGTTAGGGTGCCCGAGAGTGGGGGAGCTGGGAAGTGACCCATGTCACTGTACACCAGTGTCTGCCTGGACTGTCACGCTGTGACAGGTCGCACTGTGCTGGTCCCTGTGGCCATCAGCTGGCCTTTATGACACCAGCATCACCCGAACTCCCCCCCTAAAGGTGCCCCCCCCGCCTCCCTTGTTCTGGGGGAGGGGCGGTGTTGGGGTTCCTGGGGAGCGTCCCGGAGGTGACCTTGGCGCTCTCTAGGTTGGGTCCAAAGATTCCCGCACAAGCGCGTACCCCATGGGGACGTCATGCGGCCTGCCGGGACCCCAACCCACCACGTCCGCTTTCTGTCCTCCAGGCACGCCCCAAAGGCGAGGGTCTGACACCGTACCAGGGCAAGAAGCGCTGCTTTGGCGAGTACAAGTGTCCCAAATGCAAGAGAAAATGGATGAGCGGGAACTCCTGGGCCAACATGGGGCAGGAGTGCATCAAGTGCCACATCAATGTGTACCCACACAAGCAGGTGAGCCCTGGGCGGGTTGGGGGCGGGGTCACGGCGGGATGGGCGGGGCCAGGTGGGACAGCAGGGACAGGGCATTATCTGCAGAGTGACTTCTCTCATTGGGCCTCGTTTTACTCCTTCATACAATTAAGAAGATGCGACAAGCTCTCTCCAAGTGGGTCATGTCTCCCCTTGCCCGATCTGAAATGGGACTGGAGGAGGGAGAGCTCATTTCCTGAGGACAGGAAAGAGGAAAAGAGCACAGGCACCAAGATATCACAAGCAGAGACCCCAGGTGTATTTTAAAACAAAGGAAGGGGTAGCGGTGGTGAGACCCATGGGGTCTTGGGGTAGGTTCCACTCTGGGTGAGGCTGGGCAGAGACGGTTCAGCCTGGAGAGGACCTGCTCGGCAGAAGGCAGAGAAAGCCACTTAGAGGGTGTGATCTGTCACAGTGGGGTGGCCTACAAAGAAACAGGACTGTGCCCAGAGCCTGGGTGATGACACTGGTGGGAGCTGGAGAGCAGGGACTCTGGGCTTCAGTTTGAGACCGTTGCCCTGGTGGTGTGGCTCCGCATTAGTGTGGGGTGGCGCTTCTGGTTACCTGGAAGTCGTCAGCTGAGTTGGGCACCCAGTCCTGATCCCAGGCCGGCTGCAGTGAGTATCCCGGCTCGGCCACCTGTGTTTGCCTTCCAAGACTTTATTCCTGTCACCCTCCCTGACACCCTGCAAAGTTGGGCCTGTTTGTTTCTCCATTTCACAGAGGAGGAAAGTGAGGCACAGGGTATGAGTGGGTCCCCCGAGGTCAGCAAAGAAGCTGGGCTTTGTGAAGAGAGATCAGCTTTGGGCTACAGGGTAACGAAGACCAGAAGGGGCCAGATGGGGGCCTGGGAGCAGGGAGGGGAGCCGGGAGGGCAGGCTGGGTGGGGGGCTGGGAATGGCTTGGTATCTGCGGGGCCTCCGACTCGTGGCCACTGCTTGAGTCTGCACCACAGGTCTGGGGCTCAGTTGTGTGGCTCTCACCCGCTCAGTGGCCTAGGCAGAGAGGCAGGGCTGGCTCGGCACCCAAGGCCAGCAGGACCGGGCTCCCTACAGTGGCCTAGCATCCAGTGTCCCCTCCACCTTGCCAGGCCCATCGTTGGCCTGCACTGCTGTCCCTAGGGCAGCCCCCCTATAGTCCCCATCCTGCCTGATCACCCCAGGCTGCCCCCTTGGCCAACCCGGCCCCACCTCGGTCCACAGGGTCAGTGTCCAGGAGCCTAATCTGGAAGGAGCTTTCAATAGCATGTGCCTCTTCTTCCTTCTCTCAAATGTTCCGCTGGTGTTTGCCCAGCACCTACTGTGTGCACAGGGGAGACTAAGGCCGGAAGGGAGATGGGACATGAGCAGGTGATCCAGCCAGATCGGTCACCACCAGCCTCCAGGTCCCCTGTGCAGAGAGGGCCTGGTTGGTTTCTCCAGCTCTGACCTGGGCAGCAGCGTCCTCTGAGAACCCTGCTCTTCCCCACGCTCCGCCTCTGCCACATCTGTTTCCTGTCAGGCGCCAGCTGTGGCCCCCTCCCCGCCGGCCCCACCTCCCCTGAGAAGAAAACACCGCTCAGCCCAGCCTCCCTGCAGGGGGTGGGGGTGGCCCTCACTGATCAGTCCCAGCTGCTGGTGTTTTCCCTCCTCTGGCTGCTCCCCTCACAGGCTGCAGGCTGAGCAGGACTGAGGAGCCAGGCCAGGGCCCACACAGAGGCCCCGGGACACAGAGGACGCAGCTGACTGGGGAGCCAGTGTGGGGGTGGTCAGGGGAGGGGCTCTTCAGAGCCGCCCTGGACAGAGGTCCTGTGGGAGCCGAGCCTGGGGCCCGTGGTGCAGGGACCCCGAGTGTAGCTCCGGTGGAGGAGCCCTTGCAGCGTGGACTGTGACCTGGGCAGTGCGGGACAGCGGGGAGCCTCACCTGAAGTCTTCTCACCTGGCCTCAGCTTGGGGGGACACTGTACCCGTGGTGCCCCCCATTAATAACAAGCACGGGCGACACTCAGAGCTCCCGTGTGCCGCTCTTTCTAGTCGTTGTCGCCATGAGGGGTTGGATCAGAAGCCCAGGAGAAAATGTTACCATGGTAGGGATGGGACCCAGGGCCTTCCCACTGACCTGGTCCCCGGGCCTTTTCTTTGCCTTTTTTCTTTTTTTTATTTTGAGACAGAGTCTCACTATGTCCCTACATTGCCCAGGCTAGCCTCGAACTCGCCATTCTCCTGCCTCAGCTGCCCTCCCTGGGCCATGTCACAGGAACCTGAGGACTCTGTGGCATGGGGCTCCCAGCTGGCTATGGTCAGCTTCCTCTGAGCCTCCCACATCTATGCGGGGGACCCTCTGTGAGCGCAAGGCCAGGCGGGGCTTTGGCTGAAGGAGGTCACCACCTGACTGGGTGCTCCCGAAACCCCCATGATGTTTCCAGGGAGTATTTGCTGACTTTTGAGACAGGCAGAAAGGGAAGAGGGGACAAGTACATTCCTAGTCTATGAGAAATGCCTTCCTACCTGCCTCAGGAAACTGGGCCTCAGTTTCCCTATTGGAAAGCAGTGACATGCCACTCATATAGTCACTCCACAAATGGCAGGCCCTGGGATGGGGGAGAATCCACATGCTGGCTGCAGACTCCAAGGAGCTCATTCACTGCATGAAGGAAGCGCTGTGACAGTGTCTAGGTGAGGTGGCCGGGGCCAGGACAAGGCTCCTCCCTGCCAGGGCCACAGCCTGGGCCTCAGGCCAGAGTGGGGGCAGGAGGCCAGGAGTCCTCGGGCGCCCTCCCAGTGCCTCCGTGACTACAGCGCCACCCCGTCTCTGCCCTGTCGCCCCGTGTGCCTCCCTGTCTCTGTGTGTCTCTCTCCACCTTTGTCTCTCGGTGTCCGCCTGTCCCTCTCTCTCACTCTGGACTAACCACATCCCTGCTTCTCTGTCTCCCCCTGCACCCTGTCCCCGCACAGAGACCCCTGGAGAAGCCTGATGGCCTCGACGTGTCTGACCAGAGCAAGGAGCACCCGCAGCACCTCTGCGAGAAGTGCAAGGTGCTAGGCTACTATTGCCGCCGCGTGCAGTGACACCACCGCCTGCCCCTCCCCGTGCTGCTCAGAGGGCCGTGTGTCCCCTGGCCTCGTGCGTGGTGACAGTGTCACTTGTGCTGCTGTCCCCAGGACCCCTCTCTGGGGAGGCCCTCTGGGGTGAGCAGCCTGCATTGGCCACAAGTGCACTAAATTTACTGTGAATCCCACGGCTCGCGGGGGTCATGTCCCCAAGGCCAGCCAGGCCCCCCTGCCCAGAACCGTCCTGTTTGCCCTGTGTGCAAAGCCACTCAGAGAGCTCACCTTTCAATCCTGAGTCAGCAGTCACAGTGTGCGGGGAGTGGTCCTCTGTCCCCTGCCCGCAGGGAGTCCCAAATCCTGACCCCCGTCCACCCTAGACCCAGGCCAAAGAGGTCAGAAGACGGCACTGAGTGCTGGACAGTGTTCCAAAATGTGTCCTGGGGCTCCAAGGGGCTCCTCCATGACCCTCCATAGCCTCATTCCTGTCCCACCTGCATCGCCTCCTGCCCCCGTGGGGGATCGTCAAGGCTGCACGCCCCAGTTCAAAGGACGCAGGCCTGAACCTCTGGAGATGCACTGCGCCACCCGGGGAGAAGATGGCACATCTCCAGCCTGTTTCCCCATCAGTGAGGTGACGGAGTGGCACTAGAGAACAGAAGTCTCCGAGAGCTCTGATGTTCTAGGAGCAGAATGGCCAGGTGCCTGTCCTGGAATAGCACCTTTGTTTGGGGAATCCACCCTCTAAGATGTGGGCGACTCCTCCCAGGTACCCCTTACTCCACCCCTCTGCCCCCCGAGTGGCCACAAAGGAAGCCAGGGTGAGGGGGGAAGAGCCCACCCCTGCAGTTGCCCGATGTGTTATCCTCTCCGCTGCCAAAAGATGGACAAGCACCCCATCCCACCTAGCCCCTTATCAAGGGCTACCCAGAGTCAAGTCACAAAACCCGTCATGTGCAGATGGGGCAGTGACTTCCTTTCTCCCCAGCCAGAAGCCCCAATTCCGTTGTCCTTTTCTCACAGAGCAGGGACAGAAGCAGCTGCCAGGATTGGGTTGCTTGATTTTGCCCCAACATTGTGCCTCTGTGGGAAAACAAAAACAAAGTCAGACCACAAAATGGGCCTGAAACCCAGTGTTTACCATGGTTCGAGGACACCCATTGCCTTTAGCTGGTGCCCAGTCGCCTTTAGTTTTCAAATGAAAATGCTTTGTGCTAGCGAGGATTTACAGTAAAGTGCTCACCAAGGGTCTAGGGAGTGGGTATTAGAGACGGAGCGACCTGCAGCCCAGGGGGCTGCAGGGTAGGTTGGGGGGCCGCCCTCCGAGCACTTAAAACAGGTGTGTTCGCTGCAGCTGTGACTTCTAGCTGCCGCCTAGCACGCTGGCACCAGCCGTCCCGGGCACTGCCTCTGGGCACTCTCCGGCCCAGCACTGCCTGGAAGCTGCCCCTACAGGGAACACTCCCAGTGGTGGACAGTCGGTGCACAGGGACGCTCGGCCTGGGGACACCTGGGCCTGCACCCGGGCTGCAAGGTGGGGGGGCACACAACTGAGAAAGAACCCAGGCCCCAGACCACAGGAGGCCAGGGCCAACAGGAAATAGGATGTCACCCCTAAGTGACCTCCTCAGCGGGCAGCATAGCCCAGTGGTCTGTGCAGCGGCCACCTAGGGGTGGGCCTGAGGCAGCCACCCCATGTGCCCCTCTTGCACCGTGGAGGGGTTCTTTTTCTGTGGTCAGCAGAAGACACCCTGTCCAGGCTGTGTGCCAGGGGAACTTTAGTGCTCAGAGGAGCCGGGGGTCCAGAGACGGGCGTGCATGGTGTTAGTGTGTTCAAAAAGGGACAATCGCCTGCGGTTAGCAGGTC